TTATTTATTAATATATTTAGTAAAAAAAATATACATATTGTAAGACAAGACCTATAAGCAATTAGTTATTATAAAATATCAAAATCTGATTGGTTGCTTTATTGCACCCTTTTGCTGTGGGGGGTCCCATATATTAAAGATAACATATACATAATTTATGCATTAAATACTATCTATAATTATTTACTATTCAAATCCATCTGCCTAATAATTAATTTCAATACACAAATCATGTGTTAATAATATAATAACTCAAAAATATGTATAAGCTCTTAAAACTAAAACTTACACTAAACATATTATGGGTTTAGTACATATATATAGCACTATAAGTGTAAAATCTGTACTTTACATGAAGACAAAAATCATGTAGATATGAAGAATTAATGCAGTATTAATAAAGATAACAAAAACCTTAATAGAAAAATTTTGCTTTTCGTTAAAAAGCAGTGCTCATCATTAAGTAAGATTGTGTGTAAAAATCAATAAAATTTACAATTAAAGATATAGTTAGTAAAAGTACAAGAAAATGGTATCTATTATTAAAAACTTATATATATATTATGCAAAATATTTTTTTTGAATATTAATGGTGAGACCATGTCTCTAAAATTTAATTTAATTCTTTTACAATAAAAAGAAACTCCTTACAAAGAAAAGAATCTATTTAAATTTTATATCCTAAGATAGCAAGAAAAAAAACTCAAACTAATTTATCTGCAATCTAAACTAAATATTATACAAAATTTTTGAGTACTGGGTTTTCATAAGTTGATAAAATTTAACAATAATTGCTTTTTATAAACTTGTTTAATAAAATACAAAAATTACATAATGAATAAGTGATCCAATAAATTTTGTTGTAATATTATTCTTTTTAAATTAGTTAACCAACTGATTCATGAAAAGAAATAAAAAAGTACAGTAACAGAAAACTATTTTATTCAAAACTTATATAAAGCCAAATTTAATATTTTATACAATTTCATATCAATTTGACTATCAAAATTCTTTAAACAGATTTTAATTTATATTAAAGACTTATCTATTCTACAAACTATGATTAGAGCAAGTTCAACTATTATATTCAATATTATGATATATGCTATATTTTCTACTAGTTGTTTTTAATTCTTCTAGTTCAAATGCTAAAGAAATCTTTAAGTAGATACTTTAGTATTATTCCTTGATCTAGCTAGTTGTTCTTGAGTATGTGTAATAGCTGGGTCTAGATGTATAGATTGTTAATTAATCATTTTTCAAAACTCATCTTGAGCTCTTGTTTGTTGTAGAACTATCCAGGTTTTATATTGTTAATAAAATTTTTCAAGCACTTGCTCTAATCAATCATCTTTGGCAATCCATCTTTGTTGATTAATATTATGAATATTTAATATTTGGTAGGCTGCAAGGTGACTTTTGATCATATAGGCACAGGGCAAACCTATTGTTAAATTAAAAGTACTAGTACAAGTTGGTAAAAGATTAGCAGATAATGCTTTAATATACTGCTCATATACTTTTTTAGTACAAAGAAAGAAACTTTAGTAACTAGTTCACGATAAAATAGTATATTTTGTTTATATAGAATCTGCATTTTTTCTTGAGTAGCTATTATCTTAGTTTTGTTATATTGATTTTCAAGTAACAATAAAAATTTTTCATATACTATATTGAGATCTCCTGTTAAAACCTGAATGTATCATTTTAAAACTGAATATGTACTCTCTACCTGTAAGGTTATAGTAATACTCAAATAAGATACTTGTCAGTCTACACACTTGCAAAACATTCTTTAAATAGTAACTATATATTTTGAATATATTTTATAGTGAATGAATTTTTACCATAATTAGTTTATAACTTCTGCAATTAAATTGTGAAATCTTCCTCTATCTTTGACCTTATTATACTTGTCGAACTTTAGAGAAATGATTTTTATTCCTCCTTAGTATAAAAATATTGTTTATATTTGCTTATTATATTTTTTTTAATATACCATTGATAAAAATAATTTTTTGATTCAGAAAACACTTTTTCAAGTGCATTAACAAGTGCTAGTTCATGATCTGTAATAATAACTTTTGATTTGTCAATTCTATTAAACAAGCGAGATTTCTGTATAAGTGCATATTCATAATCTTCTTTATTCTCATTTTTAAGAAACACAAAACACAAAAAAAAGTTTTATTAAAACTTGTTATAACTATGATATTAAATAATAGTATTTTAAATTTATTTATTTTATATGTAAAATCCATTAATAAAATAGTAGAATATACCTGAGTTAACTCAATAGATTTGTTGTGAGAGAAAAAAAGATGAGTTATATAATTCTCTGAATCATACATAAAATCGTATTCAAATAGACCTTCTTTAAGGTTATCCAAAAGTGCTTGAATGGGTATTCTTCTCTGAAGATATTCTTGATAAAGCTTTTTATGAGCATTGTAAATATCCTGTGCTATTGCTATAACAAAGATCTATTTTGGTTTAAAGAAGATAAAATTTGGTGAGGAAGAACACCAGCTTTAGACATTGTGTCTATCTATTTATAAGCTTGCTTGTTTAGTCTACAAAGAGATGGTATGCTAATGAGTCTTTAGAGGCTTCATAGATATGTTTTGGGTTACTAATAGACAAATTCTACAAGTTATTAGATTCTTTTTGTTTATAAAAAGCAAAAAGATATTTTATAAAACCTAAGCCAGTAATTCTAAAACATGTTTTATTGATAAGATTTAAATAATTCTGATACTTTTCCTGACAGTTACAAGCTAAGTAAACAGTATTTGGCTTGGATCTTGCAATAGAGATACTATATCCATTCACTATGCCAAAAGCCTGAACATGCTCTATTGTGCATCAAGATTCTGAAACATTTCAACAAGAGGAGAAAGCATAACTATCATATATTTTAAATGTAAGATAGTTTAAAAAAATTTCTTTAAATAATATATAATATTTTGTATTTGTTTAAATACCATTTTAACTATCTTTTTTTTTATTATATGTTTTGCGTTTAATATGAAGCGAAATATACTTTACAGAATTAATCGTTACTATAACCTAGTTCAAGAATTTTTAATATTTTATATGTCATGCAGCTATAAAATTTGTAAAAGTCACCTTTATACTATATATTATGTTTAAAAAAAATAAAAGTAGACAATATTTCAAAAGCAAAAATTAATATTTTCTATTTTTTTCCTTTTATATTCTCTAAGCTATTACATATTTGTACTATATTACTTGCTTTAACTTTATATTTCCAAATATTAATATTATTTTCTGATATAATCATTATATATAATCATTACACATGATCATTACACATGATTATAACCAAATCATTATATGTCACATAATATATATTTTAATAAGGAGTGTAAAAATATCAAAAAAGAGTTATAGAAATATCAGCTCTCTTAAAATATAATTAAAATATATAATAATAATATAATTATTATATAATAAATATATAATTAGGTGTGGTGCCCTAGAGAAGTGGTCAAGATGTCACCCCCAAGCGGCAGATTGACAGTTCGAATCCCACTGGTAATGTTTTGGAGTTAAATCTGTGTTCGGTAATTGTGGCTTCTGATTGGTGAGGCATAAAACCTGTAATCCTGGTTCCACTATCTTGAATAGGAGCTTGCGGGCGCAATGATGTATTGGTATTACGTCGCAAATCTAAGAAACCGGAAAAAACCCACAAGAACCCATTTGGCAAGTCCCAAGTTAGGAGGTAGTGAAAATCAGTCCATATAAATATAGGCCAAAAAAGAAAGCTGGTACTATGATCGGAATGAACCTAATAAGGGCAGGTAGCTTCAGTTACTAAATCTGGCAATAACTACATGCTTGGAACATAAAAAGTTGTTCGGTAGGCAGTTGGTACAAGGGTAAAGTAGCCCTTAGGCTGTCGAAATAAAAGGGTCAGGCCTGGTATATCTGCAATATATAGTGAATCGGGTTAGTAATAGGAGGATCGTAAGTCAGAGGGTTTAAATAGACAACTTCTGTAGTTGGGTTGTAGGTATGGCAGCTAGTGTAGAACCTTTGGGCAGACTACTTAAATTAGGCACCAAAAGTGCACATATAGCTAGTTGTACACTCGCTCATGTAACAAATATTACATTGACTCATAATAAAAAATCAGCCATAGTACCCGGCCTTTAAACGGGAAAAAAAAATATATAATTAAAATATATATTTATAATATAAGTATAATATAATTATTATATAATAAATATATAATTAAAATATAATTAAAATATAATTAAAATATGAATTATTATTATTTGTACCATTGGTTAGAAATAATCACCTTTATTAAAACTTAGTATTAGGATGTAGCTTTAAAATAAATAGAGATTTTTATATAAAATAATTTTTTAAATAACATAATATAGAGTATTAGGTCCTGATCTTAGTTCTTGTAAGGTTTTTAGGGGTTCTAAACATTTTTACTTAACTTACTTAATCTCTGTTTCATAATGCAGTTTTTGAAATATAGCATAGTGGTTATTTTTAACTACTAGCACGAGTTAAAAATATGCTTAAAATATTTTTATTCTACTAATTAACTTATTAGTAGCTTATTATGAATTTACAAAAATATATATTTTTTTTTATAGTTTGGCCGCCTGCCCTAGTTTATTTGAAACTAGAGTCATTTAACAAAATTATTACAATCTCATATCTTAATCTATATCATCTAACCAAAATATGGGCTCACCAACACTATAATTGAGTTATAGATGCCAATATGGTCTGCTTTAATTCAATTAGCCTCTTTCTGGTCAAAAGACTTTTTTTCATCAGTTCTCAGCTGGTTGCTACAGGCTCATCAAGAAGCAGAAAAACAAAACAAGAAATACTAAACAAAAA